TATTGTTTTTCTGTAATACTTTCACTGCAGAATGTCTAAAAAATGTAAAAGCAATATATATTGTTTTTCTGTAATACTTTCACTGCAGAATGTCTAAAAAATGTAAAAGCAATATATATTGTTTTTCTGTAATACTTTCACTGCAGAATACTATATATGCTAATGAAATTATTTTGTTAGACCTATAGTAATTAAGCAGATTTTTGTATTCACTTTTTCATGTTAAAATGGTCACCAACACCCAACACCATGTTGAATTTTAGCAAGTGTGTCATTGTTTTGGTTCTGTTCTACTTTTATCTCTGAGTTTTCATTGGTTTTATTTCCATTTTTGTATTCTAGTTATTTTTGATTGTATTTCAGTGCTTAGATATTTCTTGTTTACCGTCTGATGCCAGTCTCCTTTTCCCTAGATCCCTTCTTGCCTCTGTTCACACCTGCTACCAATCTGCTAATTAGCCTGGTCTTTGTTTCTCTCGGCCATATAATCTCATTCTGCTCAGTCACTCTTTGCTGGTTTGTCGTCCCTTCTTTGCCCCTTGATGTAACTATTTCTTGTCTTCAGTATTTTTGGATTTCTGTGGCTTTCTGTTTTTAGGTTTGTACTTCTGTTACCTTTTTTTTGTTATTAAATCTTCAACAAACCACTTCAGATTTTGTGTCTACATTTGGGTCCTGTCAAACCTCTACTTGACAAAGTGTGTGTCTGATTTTTAAAGCAGAACCTATTCAGTGTAAGATTCAAAGGTCAAAGAGCAGACACTTATTTCATTTTGTTTGATATATCCTTTCCTCTTTAAATGTGTTTCTGCTCATGTAAATTGGCATCAGATTAAATCTCTTGCAAAATAACAGAAAAAAAGTGTGTTTTGAGGAATGTGTCCTTGTTTTTTCCTATATAAGCATCATATGTTTGAGAGTTTGCCAAAATCGACAAAATGTTTTACACATTAGCATGAAACATCATCCTTGAATAGAGTCTGAGAAATTTTCTCCAGTTCTCATCTAAAATAGAGTCCCACCTTTTTTGTATAATGACTGAATGGAATGATTATTAATGTGATATAATTGATTACTGTGAGGACTGATGCATAAGAGATATATAGACTTAGTGGACCATTACAGCTGCAGTCTGCACTTAGTCTCCCATTTTACTGACAGATAGGAAAGCTTCTACTCATTGATTTGTTGCATAATTTACAAATGGCTCTACATTAAATAGTCCAATGGGATCATAAGGGAGGGTTTATGTAGACGTGTATTTCAAAGTTTCTGTTTGTAATTAATTGTGCATGTTGTAAGTCCTGTCAGCTTAGTGTTGATGGGGCAGTCTAAGCTCATATAAGGTGGTTTAGCTTTCTGAGTATGGGAGGACATCGCTCACAAGGCAAAAAGTCAGCACATGTGCATGCCATACTTAGAAACATGCAGAATGCAGTAAGCTATTTACAGCTATAATATTGATTTGACTCTGTCTGAAAGGAGGGGTTGTTTAAAGAAGTCGAAACATGGGCGTCTGTATTACATGCATTTCTTGACCTTTCCTCGGATGTAGTCAGGTTTCCTCAGCTCTGCCCTATATCATCCTGCTAATGCCGCTCTGGGTAATGGTATTAGCAATGCAACATGAGCTTGCAAATATAATAAATTGTGAATGGATGGTGTAAAAAAAAAAGAAAAAAAAAAGATGTGAAGGTGTGCAGAGTCTAACCTTATGCAGAGTTTGTGAGAGAACTTCCTATCTCTTTTTACAGTATGTGATTTTTCTCATCAGCTGATCATCCAGCATTCTGACAAACACTCAATATTCCTTCTACAGCTGAGCGTGTAAAAGTCTTGATACATCCCTTATTCTTTAAATTCCGTTTATTAGCAGCCAACTTTTTTAACCTTTTAAAAAGATTTCCATGAGTGAGTCTTTAGTCTTTCTAAAGCTTTGTTTTTTTAAATGTCGAACACGATACATTTTGGTGAAGAAGGACTTTCTATGTTTAGCTATTTAACTTTCACCTATCAAAGGGTGAATCCCAGCAGAACAGAGGAGGTTTGCCCCCTTAATTAGAATTAGAGGCTGAAAAGAAAACTGGATTGAGGATAATTTTTGCCTCAGCTAACAATGTCGCTAGAAGAATATAATAACCTAAGAAACTGTTTTCCCCACAAGCCAGGATCTGTCATCTTATTCATTGCTTGTGATTCAGCAGCAGGCTAAAGGCCTATTTCCATTGTTGAAATACAAAATAAGAGATACTGCTATGT